TTCAAAAAGAGGATTGCCATAAGATTCTTTCCAGAGCTCTGTCTTTAATTTCAGACCATCCTGTGGACTGATGGTGTGATGCTCATAAAAACTAGGTGGAGCTTCAATCATAATGTCATGGCTACCATCTTGACTTTTTGGACCACACCTTCCAGACATCCCTCTTGCAAGAAAATAAGGAAGCTGATCATTTATAGCAGTATTTCTCAACCTCAGCAACTTTAAGATTGTGTGGACTTCAACTCCCAGAATTCCCCAGCCAGCTAGGCTGGCTGGGGAATTCTGGGAATTGAAGTCCACACATCTTAAAATTGCTGAGGATGAGAAACACTGATTTATAGTTTTAAGCCTACCTTGCAGATACCCCCACTCTGCAATAAGGAATTATGATGATGATTTGTTTTTGGTCTTTTGAACCAGATTATATTACAAGGATACATATCTAAAGCCCCATCCATTCATCTTTATGGGCACTTTGTGTTCCTAACCCAAATACTAGACCTGTATCAGCTTTTCACCCCCACCTCCAAAATAGGTCTGCTTTCCTTTTCAAGTTAAAAACCCAAGGCAAATCAATGTTAGCCCCATTTCACAGACAGGAAAATCTGAACAACATGGCTGAGATCTCCCACATCTTTCTGATCAAGACCAAGCTGTCAGTTGACCGTGGGCTTCCCAGCTCTGTGGCTTTCTTCAGCTGAGATCAAAAGCCAGCAGTAATTGTCTAACGGCCCCCATGTCAGCTTGAACACAGCCCAGACTTCATCATCAATCAAGGTTGTGACAGCAGAGGCAGGAATGGTGGCAACAGATACCAGCCTCAGAGGGGGAGAGAGTGGTGGTGGGTCCAGCGAGACAAAGCCTGAAAGGAATTTAATAAATCGAAGCGGCAGGGACTTGAGGTTAGAGCTGCCAGCCAACTAATAGCAACCTGCTTTTAATTAGGGTATGTTCTCGCTAAGTCAGCCCCTCGGACAGGCCCTTGCATTGATCAGTTGAGGAGTTCAAGAGAATAAACAGCCAAAAATGGAAGTCCCAGCTGCTCTGCCAGTAACTAGAGAGACTGAGTCTCTGTAATGCCCCCTCCCCAACTGAATGCAACCCTCTTTTGTACCCCACCTCTGCCGAGAGGAAGAGAGCCCTCATAGCTACATCTGTGATTTCGAAAAGTAGTTTCAAGAGGAAACACACTCAGGATGGAGAGCTAGATTTTACTTGCCAAGGAGAGCTCTCTCTCACGGCTGTATGTATTGTGAAATGCCCAGATTCGTTTGGCGTTGGGTGGCATTAAATCAAATCAATAAATAATAAAACCAAGTCATTTATTGAAAAGGAAAAGGACCACTCCCAGAAGATGGAGGGCCACTGTCCAGAATTCAATGCTTCAATCTGCAACTGACACTTCCTGATGCCATTATCATAGACTCACATTCCATGAAAAGATTTTCAGATTCCCTGAAATTTGCTTTAACCTGCTTGCCTTCATTCATCAGACTTAGGTTCTCCCTTACCTCTCTAGCTCTTTCAGTTAATGCAGTGTTTCTTAACCTTGGCAAGTTTAAGATGAGCGGACTTCAACTCCCAGAATTCCCCAGCCAGCCTGGTTGAGAAACACTGAGTTAATGCCTGTGGTGGCAGAAACACACCCAGTGGTTGGGTTCACACATTACACTAAGCCATAATGTGATCTGGATGATTTGGGCTTATTTTATGTGAATCCATCTTGTCTAAATTTCATTTCAGCCTGTTCTCCCCCATCCAGCCCATTATCAAAACTAGGCAAGATTCAAGGGTGCTGATTGCCTACTTGGAATTCAGATGGTAGAGAGATGGATGTCATCAGCATACTGATGGTACACCATTCCACAGCTCTGAATGACAGTCCACCAGCAGTTTTATGCAGCATAGGAGACAACGTAGAACCTTGTGGGATACCATCATTCAATGACTGAGAGATTGAACTCTAGTCCCCCACAAAGGACTGGAACCACTACAAAACAGTGCTCCTATGTCCATCAGACATTCCAGAAGAACACCACAGCCATCGTATCTAAAGCAGGCAAGACGTCTAGAATTAGCGGGGTCCCCACATATAGTTTTGCTGTAAATTGTCTACCAAGATAATGAAAACACTGTTAGTACCTTATTTCAGATGAAACCCTGATTGAAAGGATTCTAAGATAATGTATCAGAAGTTGTGAGGCCACCATCTTCTGGATCAATTTCCCCTGGGATGGAATATTTACCACGGACCTAGAGTTACAGATATCTTCTTGAGGAAGGGAAAGCCTTTTCAGTGTGGATTTCAGCAGGCAGGATCACTTTAATCCTGATGCCAATCCTGTTCAGGAGGAGCAAAGTTTAAGCAAACAAGTGGCAGTCCTTATCTCTGTATGTCCATGTTCTCAAGATCTACAGAGTAGAAAAAAGTACTGACTAGGCCACTTGAGATGATTCAAATCATATTTCCAATAAAACTTAGCATGGTACAGGAGCCCAGCCACGATGATTTTTAAACAATAACATTAAGGCTTACGCATGGTATATGAGCCTGACCATGATGGCTTCATCAGTATATAGCAAAATGTGATGCCCAAGCTAGCTAGAAGAAGAAATGCACTGTCTGTTAAGGAGACCCAAGGGAGCACCTTGCAAGCTGCTATTGCTGTTGTAGTCAGTCTCAAGGAAAATCTCTTACGGGGAGATGAGCCCCACTGTTGCCCCCAGAGATGATTCCCAGTTCCATCAGCAGCATCTGTTGCCTTAATTCAAGGAGGTTGTCACCAAACGGACTTTGAAGTTCCAACAGCAGGATGAGACGTGTGTCAGGATACAACTTCCCTTTGTCAATATAACAAAAGCCGTCGACTGTCCTTTTTCTGAAAGGGGGCACTCTCTTCTGTCAATGCGGGTGCCCGTGCTGATTCTAGACAACACAGGAACACTGACTGCAATGCAGGGCTGTCAGACTTGTTAGCAGCCGGGTGAGTTGTTGACATAATGAGGACACGGCCAAAAGGGGGAAAAAAAAGCTTTCCTTGGACCAATTAGTAGTTTAAAAATTCTTTATCAAGCATATGTGATTATAACAGAGAGGAGATAAGTTGAATGAATATATAATAATGGCATAATTCAAAGACATAAAAAAACATTGCAGTGTAGAATAACCTTTTGGAATGTACCAGCCAACTGTCCCCTATTTTAGGAAACTCCGTGCCCCATTCCCTCTTCACCCTAGTTTTGGTCCTCCGCTCTGTAAGAAACTATGACCAATGAACAGGCGTACCCCTAACGAGGTCGGTTTGGGGTTCTCCCCTTCCCCAAAACATTTTTCTTTATAAAGATAGCATGGATTTCTGCAAACTTCTGGTGCTTGTTTGGCTATGTAAGTAACCATGTGCTCCAGAGAATGGGACTGCTTTTAATACATAGAAAATGCATGCATCTTCAGGATTTGTAAAAACTGGTGCCAGATTGAGGGCCTGGGCTCTCGATACTGACAGTAATTTATCCCTACATCATGCTAGCATGCTATAATCAAAGCAATACATTGTATTTAATAGGTCGAATATCATACCTCTCTACAAAGCATTAAAAATGTTCTAGTCCTCAAGACTGCACAGAAAAGGTCTTCATCCATTTCTACCCTTACCCCTCGCTGATGCATCTCTAATGCACAACAAAGCAAAAGCATGCAAAATTACACAGAATCCAGAACACGAATGGAAACATACATCATGACATACACTTGCAGAGGCCAGTCCAACCTTTTAGAAGAACAAAATCTTCCACTGGGATAAACCTGTTCTTTAAGATGTCACAAAGCATCATAGTTTTTCTTACAATAGATGTAAATGGCTGCCCCAAATTGTAGTTTCTAGAGTTTTTATATCATTAGGACTTGCACGCTATGAATCAAGCTATGTTATTTTTCTTCTGTCCTGAATCTCCCCTCATTCAGCTTTATTGGATAATTGTGATTTATCCTCTGAGAAAACATTTCTTTCCCTCACAATGGAACTTCTATAGTGCCCTCTGCTCTTTACTTGCCTTTTCCTAAATTAAAAGTCTCAAACTTTGAAACTATACCTCAGTTAAGGTGTTCCAGTCTCTTGAACTTTTTGTTTGACTTTTGGTGCACCTTCTCCAGCTCTACCAGCCCAACATGGGAAATGTTTTGGATACAAAGAGACACAACAGTTTGTTCCGCATATTCCCAGGACTGGAAACTACAAAGATTTCCGCTAATCACTGGGAACATTAGGGTGGGAGACTTTGAACATGTAAATGGCAGTGCAATTCAAGTAATTTCTTGGTGGGGGAGGGGGGCTAAGATGGCTTCTTCATTCTCATTTTTAACACCAGAGATCCCCCCCCCCATAGCCCTAGAACTTTTTTACCCTTCACTGTCTTGCAAGGGCCAACCCTCATGTTCTAGGAATAACCTATACTCTACCAATACTTGAACCTTCATAGTAACCTACTCAAGACTTGATAGCAGAGAGCTTGAAATACCACATAAGCTGTTCTACACTTTCTGAAATTGAAGAGTATGATAGAGGATTAGGCTGTAATTACAATTTTTGTTCCCTCTCCAAAATGTAGAATACGTACCAACACACTTAGGTTTGCATCTAGCTCATTTACCCCCACTTTCCATAGTTCTCCACAATGCCTTTCTTTGTTCCTCTATCCTGCCTTTCCTTCAGGACTCAAGGCAGCGTACATAGTGCCCCTTCCTCCCATTTTCCCCTTCAACAATGCTGTGAGATCAGTTAAGCTGAGAGAGAGAGAAAGAAGCCCAAAGTCAGCCATGGAGCTGAGGGTAGACTTGAAGCTCAGCCTCCCCAGTATGAATCCAACAACTAAGCCACTACACACACTCAATTTCAGGTGTATTTTTTTTTTTATAAATACATACGTAAAATATATTTGATTCACTCATTCTGAACACAAACTTCTTTTCTTCCTGGAGGGAAAGGAAGGACAGCCATTGCAGCTTGCCAGAGTACACAGAAATGCATTTATTTTTCACCATTGTTGGGATTATGAAATTACAGCAGCAGAGTTTGGGCTTTACAAAGGAATCGAGCAACTGGACTAGAAGACCATCTAGCTCAACACCAGCAAAGGAAAGAACGAACAGGGGAAAATTGATGGAGCTCTGCAGTGAAAGCCTAAACAACAGGAAAAATGGAAGACAGAAGATAACACAAATGAAATGTTGTAAAGGAAAAGGTAGAGAATGAAAGATGAAAACTTTGCAAAGTACTTTGGACTTTACCGAATTCCTATATCCAAGACATTGCAAGGCAGACGTGAATGCAAAATTGATGCAGAGCTCATAGCAGACCATGTCATTGCATACAGGTTTCTCACTCCATCTACACAACCAATATGGCGTTCTTTTTTCCTATTGACCCCCACAATGAACTCCAGTCAGGGGCTGTGTGCAAGTGTGTGCAGGCAGGCTCCAATCAAGATTCAGACCGCCAAAATTCCTACCCGGAGGCGCTTCCCACAGAAGAATTTTAAAACACAATTAAGACCTAAAGTCATCAACATAGTTATCTGAAGATGAATAGTTATCATGTGGCTGTTGGACAAGAAGGGCCAACATATATGACGAAACTTAGGTTAGGCTATATTTAAGTGAGATATGATTGTGCGAAGGCTAGAAACTTCAATCTGACTACAACACATTCACCCCACTCCTGTCTTGCTTAAGTCACATTTTTCCATGGTCCTGCAAACTCATTTTCAGCTCCCCCCAATCCCTTGGAAGCCAGATAAATCAGGATTGCAAATATGATGTAGGGTAAAACCACCCCACATCTGCTTTGCCATAAAGGCTGTAGCTTTTTATTAACAGCCATATACGAACTTATTTTAGATGTGGTAGCAATGTGTGACTTGTATGTTTTCATGGAAATGGAGAATAGGGCAGCTGTTTCCAATCACACTCTTCTACTGGCCAGAACTGCCCCTTAGTCACAACTAGGAAATCCTTCCTAGTCAAGTGAGCAAACAAGCAAGATGAGCTGCATCTGCAGCTTCAGCTCTTCCAAAGGTTTGAGCCTTCGACTCACTGGGTCCCTCCCATCACGCCATCTTCTCCTTTGAGCCTCCCTATTTATCATTAATTGGCCTGTTCACAAATATAGACTTAAAAAAAAAACTGTAAGGACCAAAATATGGGAAGGGAAGGGAAGGGGGAGGAAGAGATGCTGAGAACAAGAGAGAGACAGAGAGCAGTGACCATCCATGATTTTTTTTGCTCCTCCAGCAAGCTTCCCGTTTTGGTAATGCTTGTACAGTCATATTATGTCAGGCAAGCCCTTTCTAACTGATTGAAAAGATGAGCTTAGATCAATGCTATGGTAGAAAGACAGTTGGCTTTGAGTTCCAGGTCTGGGAAATGCTGGGGCTTCCTGGAGCTTTTTTATGGCAAGTCACTATGAGAGGGGAAAAAAATAAAAGAGGGAAAAAATGAGTATGTGTGCGTTATCAATTCAGTGAACTCAGTCTATTATTTCTATAAGAACTAGGATCCCTGCTGAGAAGTAAGCGAAACAGCTCAGGAATAGCTTGATGGAACACCACACGGTGTCACTTTGATGTAAGACCTTTGATCTCTAATCAGCCTAGAGCTTATTGATCAGTTTTCTACAGCTGCCGCCGTTCATGCTTGAAATGGCTGAATACAGCGAAGACCCCCAAGAAGACTTTCTAAGCCACAGGTGCCTCTTTTACACAGTGCAAATCTTTGGCACTGCGGGAGGAACAAAAGGAGGAAGGGTAGCAAGGGAACGACAAGGGTGGAAAGGAAAGGAAAGGAGAGCCCAGGAGTCTTTGAGGTCACCTTCCGTTAAAAAGAAGAGGCTGCCCCTTTCTTCGCACAACAGGCAAGGCTATAAGCCCAAATTAAGTTAAAATTCATCTGAGCAGCTATTGCTTTTCAGATACCTGGATACAGCATGGAAAAGCTTGGCCCTAGAAGGAATGGTCCACTTTTCCTTAAAGCAGACATGATGCTGGCATGGCTTCCAGCATCCAACACTCACTATAAAAGGTGAAGCATTTAATGGCTGTGGGTTATGTTTCCAGTGACTTCCAAGGCACAATAGAATGTATGAAGAACCCAGGTAGAGCAAGGACTTTGGAAATTGCAATTCTATAAAGGAAATTAGGAAGTCTTACCAGAATTCTCAAGAACAGCCTATCAAAGAGAGCAGCTTACATTCTTTACCAGGACTGTGATAGGGGCAGTTTAAGCTGACAAGAACGTAACAAAGATCAACTGCCTTTCAAATGCTGGTTCCTATGAGACTAGACTTAAGAATACACATACAAACAAAAAGATATACTTTCTGTGCAGTGGACAAGAGGAAAACAACAGCACAAGCATCATCCTTAGTTAAAGTCCTGTCTGCACAAGAAGAAATTCAAATTAATCTCATCTTACATAAAGCCCTGCATATACCAAGGGGGTCATTCTTCCATTTTGAGGCCACCAGCTGGAAAAAAAGTGCTATAACCATGACTACTGGAAATCCTATCATTCAGTGCAAGCAAATATAACTCCATTCCACAGGGCAGCGGCCACAGAGAGCCACCTTCCATTTACTGCCCATTAATCATCTTTGGGAGAGATCAGAGAAAGTTACCACCAACCTAGGCACCTAACCCAAGGATAATGAAACCCTCCCTCGTTGTCCTACTGACCCAGACCCTATTGTGGATTTCCACGTGGGAACCTTTGGTCACAAAGGAGTTTTGGTGAGAAGTAAAATGCAAGATTCTCCCTCCTTTCCCAATCCCAAAACATTCAAAGTCAAGTCTGTTGAAAGAAATCCTCCTCCTCCTCCTCATCCAAACAAGAGTCCCGCAGGATAATAGGAGAGTTGTTATTACAAAATACAAATGGAGTTATTTTCCGGGGGCTTCCAGACCACGCCGCTCCGTGCCTTCCTAGGCTGGAAAACCACGGGTTTCCATCACTTGACTTCAAAGGGGAAAAGGGTAGGGTGGGTGGGTGGGTGGACGGGTGGGTCAACACACCAATGTCATCCATCACCGCATGTGAAGAGTCAAGATGACTATCAGGATAATCCCCAAAAAAAGGAAGAAGGGGAGCCAGGTCTTCACAAAGCCTCCTATGCTGTAAAGGAGAGAAAAGAGAGTTAGGAAACAGAACAGGGGAGGAGCCAGTCAAGATGACTATCAGGATAATCCCCAAAAAAAGGAAGAAGGGGAGCCAGGTCTTCACAAAGCCTCCTATGCTGTAAAGGAGAGAAAAGAGAGTTAGGAAACAGAACAGGGGAGGAGCCCATAACCCATTGAAATATAGCCTTGAATGACCAGGGGCAGAAAGAGAAGGGTTTGCTGAGAAGAGGCACAGCAGAGAAAAGGAAAGAAACATCTTATGCCTGTATCTTTCTCTGCAACCCAGCCAGCCAGCCAGCCTAAGCACTTGCTAACTGAAACAATCCTGGCCTTGCCTTGTTTCTACCTACTTTTCGATCCCCGCCAAATTTCGTTTGTTAACTGTTTGGAAGAGGTACTGGCAAAGAGCCATTCGCAGCCCTGGTACATAAATGATAACAATAATCCTTTATTCATCTATTTTAACCAGCATATAGATGGTATAAAGTACATTGTATATCAGGTGCTGTAACCACACAGATGCACCATCGGGGTGACAGGGAGTAGTTTTCCAAGGTTTTTTGACTGCCTCTTATTTTACAACCGAATGATACTCCGCCATCTCTAAGTTTCACTGATGAAATTATGAACGCTACAGGAAGCCAGAAGTGGACTTTTGGAAGAGATAAGTATGCAATCTCTTTTCCATTATGGTACTCAGTATAAACTCCCAGGCTCAGAATGCCTAATTCTAGGTACCTTTTTTTTTCATTAGGCTGTGGCCAGAGGAGCTCAGAATTGTATTAAAACAATGCTATTGCTCTTCCAAGCTTGAAGGTCATCGTCCCTGCACTTTTGGCAGGAATTAACCTATGCTGTCCTTTATACAATGTTTAGTAGCACAATGTAAAGCTATTTAATAATATTTAATAAATAAATAATATTAAATTAAATCTTAATATTAAATAATAGCTACCATTTCTGAATGGTCTACCTGTGTCAACAGGTCAATGTATTGAGAAATGCTATTTTGTAAAAAGAAAATTATTTCTTCCAACCATTGGCACTACTTTCTACATTATAATGAGGTAGCACCATGCTTCTGCAAACACATAGACCAGACACTGAAACGGCTTTCAGCAACCTGAGAATTTCAGCCCTTGAGGTTACTGACATAACAGTATAAGCAATCTCAGAAGACAAAAGGCATCAATTATAGTTGCTCCTGTGTAACCTTCTGCCTTTCCATATTATCAGCAGAAGCAGAATAAATTATGCAAATATGCAAGTGTTTGCTTGTTAGAGGCTTTTTTTTTAATCATGCAGAAGTTCCTACGAGATTGTGTCTGCTAATCCCATCCTTACAGTTGTACAAGAACAGACATTCAACACAAGGATTTGCAAATTTGGGGTTCTAAGAATAATTTGCAATGGGAAAAAATTCTACCCAGCAAGCACCAATGGATTTAAAGCATCTAGGTACAGAGGGCATACAATTATCTGAGTACTACATACGTGAGAACTTTAAGGAGAACCAAGCCCTTGATCAAAGTGCTTTCTTTCTCAAACACACAAAAGCAGTGGAGTTTTCTACTCACCTTACATACTTTCCATAGAGCAAGGAGAAAAAACAAAGTTTGATCATATTCCAGGAAGTACTGTTGTCATATCGCATGAGATTTAAGGCTAGAGCTACATGAGAATGGCAATTGTCACAACAGAGGTTGTGCTATAAGAGAGAAAAAGATGGACAATTGAAGGTATTTTTAGTTCAAATATCTTCTCTAGACATAGTCAACACTGAGGCAGAGAAGACATCCTTAAGCTCTTCTATTTGTTTACCAATCTGAAATTAGCTTGTCTGTGCATCTTTTTTGGGGGGGGATGCCTTCGAGTTAGTCTTGACTCTTGGCGACTGGCTGGACTAGTCCCTGCAGTTTCCTTGGCAAGATTTTCAGAAGTGGTTTGCCCTGGCCTCCTTCCTAGGGCTGAGAGAGGGGGACTGGCCCAAGGTCACCCAGCTGGTTTCATGCCTAAGGCAGGACTAGGATTCACAGTCTCCCAGTTTTGAATTGAATTTTCTCCCCCATCTTCAAAAGCTGTGCCACATGCAATATGTACCAGGAATCACACTAAGGGATTAACCTGGATAACTGGATTAACAGCCAGGCAATCGCTATTTGCATAGGAGTGTAACTGGCATATCAGCCTGAGCTGATACAAGATGCTCCAAGCCACTGAGGATCACAGATCCAGGAGCATCCCAAGACATCAAACACCTCAAACTGAAGCAGATGACACACCTAGCACAGCGCTGGTTATCATCTGGGTTAGATGCAAAGGAAAGGCGTTAGTTGGGTATCATCTGCACGATGATGACTACTCAGTTCACTTCTTTGGAAAACCTCTCCCAGCATTTCCATGTAGATATAAATAGCAAGGAGCATGAAATAGAGGCCTAAAGAACTGCAGGACTCAATTGCCAGAGAATTGAGTTGTAATGCCCAAGTACAACCCAGAACCAACTAGCCAGCTATGAAGGGAACCACTATAAAACAGGACTCTCAAGACTCAGCTGTAAAATAATGTAAAATTATCACTTTTTCTCTAAGCCATTAGAATCTGATACATATCACAATGTGGGGCTTCACTATTAGGGTGAGCAGATCAAAATACTGATGTGCAATATTAACTGCTTAGCTAGCAAATGCTTTAATATTATTTGTATTTTAAAGGGCTTTTTATGTGATAAAATAATTATGTAAATCAATACATTTATAATTGTGTGCATGTATGTTTATATCTATGTGTATATCTGTGTGTGTGTGTATAATTTCTAGTTCAATTACATCTAGCAGTAATAGAGCAGTTTCAGGTTAATATACCACTAATCCATGATACACAAAACACCACCACAAATCAGCTGCCAAAAATTTTGGGCGTATGACTAATTCAGCCCACGTGATGAAGGCAGACCTGGGAAGTTTCAGGACTTAAATCTGCTAGTAGAATGATTAATTTAATTGTCCTTGGATTAGGTACCAACGAAGGCCAGCAAATCCATTTTGCCCAAGTCTGTTGGACAAAGATCAGTTCATCCTTTTTGAGGATGACTCTAACTCTTCCAGTTCTATGTAAGCACAAGCCCTCTAAATTGAAAGCTGACCCTACTCACCATTCGGTGCTTATATTCCTCAGAGGCATCGTGTACTGCTGTATCCCAAGCATTGGGACCACAGGAATAGACTTTGTTGGGATCCAGCTTCCAGTATCTGACAAGAGGAAGAAAAAAAAAAGATCAAAATTCTTTCCCCACTTTCATCAGATGGAAACACCTCACCTTCTAAAAACCCTTTAGTTACTAAAGTGTCCAAATGACCCAATTCTGAATAATTCTTAATTCATGGCACACTTTCACAACGGTGCAGAAGGGATCACAAAGGACCTAACTGAACAGCTGCTGAAATCTTGTTTGTTTATTCAATTTGTATAGCTGCCCATCTCAAACCAATGATTCTGGTGGTGAACAATCATAAAAACAATTAAGGCACAATACAAATAGCAGCCAAGATATATTATAATTCATTGGTGTCAATGTAACCAGGAAACGGGGCCCTTCACACACTTGGGACCCCAGGCCTGGGCTTACCACCAGGTCTTCAAGGCCTTCTGAAAGGCTGGCAGGGTTGGGGCCACCCTAATCCCAGGAGGGAGGATGTTCCAGAGGGCAGGCGCTATGGCAGAAAAGGCACATATCCTGGCACTGCCAGCCAACATGCCTTGGCTGACAGGACCTGGAGTATGCCCATCCTGCCAGGCTGGATTGGACGGGCAGAAAGAACTGGCAGAAGACAGTCCCTAAGGCACTGTTGTCCAAACTTGGCCACTTTAAGATGAGTGGACTTCAACTCCCAGAATTGTTCAGCCGGCATGGCTGGCTGGGGAATTCTGGGAGCTGAAGTCCACTATTTTAAAAGTAGCAAAGTTTGGACAACACTGCCCTGAGACAAGACAGTCCCAAGCCATGAAGGGCTTTAAAGGTGACAACCAGCACCTTGAATTGCACCCGGAAACACACTGGCAACCAATGCAGCCCCCAAAGCAGTGGTGTTACATGTGCCAAATAGCCGACACCATTTACAACCCATGCAGCTGCATTCTGTACCAGCTGAAGTTTCCAAATGCTCTTCAAGGGCAGCCCCATGTAGAGCACACTGCAGTAGTCCAAATGGGAGGTCACAAGGGCATGAGCGACACTGAGCAGAGCCTCCCAGTCCAGGAATGTATTATTTATATGTATTTCTAGCCCTTCAAACGAAGCTTAAAGATGCATGATTCAAGGCTCATGAAATCTCAGAAGCTGAGTACAGGGTTGTCAGTGAACTAAGGACCTTGCCAAGATAACTTAAGAGTAATTACCTTAATCAAAATCCATCAACAGGAGACATAATTAAATAGCATGTCCTTCAGCCTTTGCTGCCCCTTGTGCTTGTAACTGCACTATCACCCATCTTGTACTATATTGATCCCCCCTCCAAAGCCTACCATTTCTGTAAATCTTTTGATACATTTTTGCTCTTCAACATATGTCTTTCTATACATATGTATAGAAATATATGCATATTTTCAGTTTGTTCCAGCATTTCTTTCCCACATTATCTTCCCTGTGTCATATTTTAGGACAGGAACATAACTTATCTATTTGATTTACGCTGTTTTTTCCCCTCACTAATACCCAAAGAGACTGAGAATTAAAAATAAAGCACTGAACATAAAGATTCACATTTTTAAAGACAGCAGCTGACAAAAATTAAAATATTAAATTACAATTAAGGAACAATGTCAGGCATGCACTGAAAGAATTAACTAAATGTGAAATAGCTGTACAAAGTAACACAACAAACACTATGACATTTTACATTTACACAAGTTGTTTCAAAGAGTATCCTTCAAGTGCTCTCACCATTTTAAATAACAGTCTTCTTAGTAGTGGCAACCCCTCAAAGAAAATTTCTTTCTAATCTTTGTGGTGCAAAAAAAAAAAAAGATTTTATTCTCATAGGGAACAAATTCCCTAAAAGCACTAGTAAACTCAGTATTATTTACTTCTGAGTAGACATGTACAGGATGCTACTGTTCATTTCCCTTTCTTTTGTATCAGTTTATGGTACTTTAAATTGTCTATGCACAGCTTTGGTCACCACAAAAGGTGTCAGACGCATGCAGGCAGGGCTGATATAAGAGTAAGAACCAACATTTGGATGGGCAGAAGAGATGCTTGAGATAATGAATTAACTTCAGTTCATACCCATAACAGTAGAAAGCTTGATTAGACTAGCAGTTCAGATGATTGTGAATACAAAGAGGTTTAACGTTATGCTGCTCACTGGTGCAAGCTCCAGCAGCCAACTGTAATCTGAGTATTTATTTTTATCTTCTTAACCAGAATATGGCATCTATTCTTCTGTTTCAGCCACAAAAATATGTTTGCAAACTAACACGTTGAGAGGAGAAGCAACACTTACTTCACAGGCTTTCCAAAAGCCATATTGTCTTCCTAAAGAGGGTAGGGAAGAAAAAAAAAGTAAACACACATTTGTTAATAAAATTAAGCTATACGCATGATAACACTGCTTATTCTGCTTATGTCCTCCAAAACTAGCTATTGAGTTTACATTGGCCATGTAAATCATGCTAAACTATTGTTTAGCCATGGTTTATTGAATAAACCACTCTTGGTGGAGTCATAAAGTCGTAGTTTATAAATCGCAAGAGCTGCGCTTATACAACATGCTGAGCCAAAACCCAAACAAAACAGGTGAATCCGGCTTGTCTTCTTCGTGCTGAGAAACAGACACAATTGCCTTCCTTGACCTTCTCTGAGTAGAGGCTTAAACAGACTCCTCCCTATCTGGTGCCCTCCACGTCTAGAAAATGGCTGAGTATAAAGGCTTGTTATTTATCATCTAGAACTTGCAGCACCTAGAATCTGATAACAAGGTTTAAAAAAACCTTTCAAGTGTATGCAGAACTGTTGTTCTTCCAGGACTCCTTAGGACTACTGGAAGGAAGAATTGTTATTTTATTCCCATTTACTTGGAAATATGCCCCACTGCACTGAATGGGTTTTACTTTGAAAAAAGGATGAATAGGACTATTTTGTTAGATCCACAGTTCCTGCACAGCTGGGAGAGAAAGCTGATGGTTCACAACCCAGATCTTGGGTTTCATATGGCTTTCAAGACAAGTGTCAGTTGACTCCAACCCTCAACCCCAAGGCAAAACCAAAGGGTCTTTACACCTACCCCAACCTACATGAATCTTCACGTTACTAATATTTTTAAACCAAGCAAAGTTGCTCATTTCTGCACATTTATCAGGACACATGCCATTCAGACTGATCAGCTGAACTTCAAAATAAGAGGAGGTTTCTACCATAGACCAATTATTAACAAGAGAGAGGAAAGGGTTAGTGTGCCATTTTGGAGTTGTATCTTTATGGAAAGTTTCAGTGAGCAAAACTAAGGCTGACCCTTCAGCCCCTGTTCAACTCAGTCCTGGGAAAGTGGAAAGCAAGAAGTTCAAAACAATTCTGCCTTGATTCAGTTTTGTGTAAGATGGGGCAGAGAGAAACGAACAAGCTTTCAAGATTCTGTTATGATACTCTGCAGCAATAAAGAAGAATCCATGTGGTATCTGTTTCCTCACCTGAGCTACCTTGAAGGGCTGGCAGGAACCTTTTTACTTTAAGGCCTGTGGTTGCATGTAAATGGCTGGGGGTTAGCAGAGCCAAAGCCACATGTACCTTCTCATCACATATTCTCCCACACAGCCACACATTTACCCACACAGGATCCCCACCCACCTCTAAACATGCCTCCTGCTGGCTGCAATGAGAGGCTTTTAAAAAAATCTGATTTTTGATCCTAACACAGGATCACAGACCACCAAGAAAGGAAAGTTGAGCTGGAACCCCAATACTGCTCCTTAATGCTGCAATTCAGTTGGAATACAGTCTCCCCCTGGACTTCATGGGAAGTCTTTGGAAAGCCGCACAGCTGCGAGGAAGAACGAGAGGAGAGTATCCCTGAGAAGCTGACCGCTCATGCTGTTTTGTAAAGGAATAAGCTCCTACTTACAGAGACATAGTAAGGCCCTGCAAAATCTCGGATGACTCCCGCAGAAGTACAAATGCCCATGTGGCCAATGATGGGGAAGAGCCATCTGCAGAAAGAAGAAAAGCGTCAAGAGCTTCATTTTTTTTCTCACATTGAAAAAAGCTGTTTTCAGGAAGCTGCAGAACTGGCCATCCATGGTCGTACTGGGCAGAACCAAAAAGAGACAAAAGACCAAAAGAAGTTAAATATGTTCTCTCTTGAGTAACAACGAATGCATTCTTTTATTTTTAAACTTTGAAAACTATATCTCAATTCTCCTGCAAATCCTGTTTCGGTATACGTATATAAATATTCCACGTAGATGTATAAAAACCACACTTAGGAATGTCCCTGGAGTACCATTAGATGTGTGACCCCAACCCTGCCGCCTTAAAGCTGAGGCAGATGCGATGTCAGAGACCAATATTCAGATCCCGTTTTGGCAGCAGCAGCAAAGGGAAGTTTAATTTTGATCAAAATAGTGGCTCTGAGAAAGGCAGCCCTTAACGCTCTCCACTGTTTCCCAAATCTGAATCAAATTCCTTGGCCGATTAGCCTCGTGGGAGGAAAGGGATGGAGTGGAGGGAAGACAATCAAGCCACCTTCTCAGGTCCAAGTTGGAGCTCTCCACTGCCATGCTAAAGACCAAACCAAAGTGCCTGAGCTGATAGAAATAACTCTTTTTCATGGTCAAACCGAACCATCAGCCACCCAAACAATATGGGCTTGCACAGTTGGCTAAGCCAAATTGAAACTGAAATCCCAACAGAGCCTGCTTGTGCAAGGCATCTCTTCATCGCACCTGGACAAGGGTGCTGTACGAATGCAGCCTACAATGCAGTTCTCTTCCCAAGTCTCTTCCCCTCATAAGCCAGTCTGGTCTAGTGGTGAAGGCACCCGGCTAGAAAGCAGGAGACGGTGAGTTCCAGTCCCGCCTTAGGCACAGAAGCCGGCTGGGGGACTTTGGGCCAGTCCCTCTCTCTCAGCCCAACCCACCTCGCAGGGTTGTTGTTGTAGGGAAAATAGGAGGCAGGAGCCTTAGGTATGCTTGCTGCCTTGAGTTACATATAAAAGGTGGGGGAAAAATATAAATAAATAATAACAACAATAATAATCATTGGAGGGGCGTGCGAGATTATCCGCCCCCCACAAAAGAAGTGTTTCCGGACCGGCTGCGTGGGCGCGAGAGAGGGAAAAGCCGCTCCAGGGTCTCCTGCAAAAGAAGGCGAACCGCAGACCCCCTGACCCATCGCCCCCCAACACCGGGCCGCCCCGGAGGGAAGGCTCCCCTCTCCAGCCCTGCGCCCCCGACCCAGGTAGGAGACCGTCGCTCACGTGAGAACGGGGATCGGCGTCCACACGACGCAGTACGGGAAGCGGCCGCGCTCCGTATCCAGCGCCGCCCCAAGGGACCCGCCGACCCCCACCGCGACAGCGCCGTGGAACTGCTTCATTTTCCCCTCCGCGGCCTCCTCTTCCTCCATCTCCGGGAGGGGGAGGAGTCGGCCCGGAGTGACATCACTTCCTGGAGACGGGCGCTGCGCTTCCGGGACAACGGCGGGGCGGGAGGGGCCGGGTCTTTGGGCTGCGTGTTGCGGAGTGGGGAAGGCGTGGCCTACCTCGCAGGGGGGTTGTGAAAGGGGAAGGGCGGGTGGAAGGAACCCCGGGCGCCGCTTAGGCTGTTTGGCGGGGTCTCCTCTCCCGAGGCGAGGCGAGGCTTCCCTGCGTCACAAAATCCCAGGGATGAATTTGCTGGGGAAAGAGGCCGAGATACGCAGTAGAGCCAGCGCGACCTCGCGCTTAAGGTCCAGATTCGTCCTCAACCGCGAAAACTCACCGGTGCCTTTAAAGGAGTCCCTTTTTCTCAACCTAGCCTAATGCACAGCTATTGCTGGGGAATGGTGGCTGCAAGGCTGGGTCTGTCACGGGGAGGTCAAAAAAGTCAAGATGGAGGCCATAACCATGGGATCAAAGTCCTGCCCTTTTTTATGAGCCATCACATGGTTTTGATCCCATGGTTGTGGCCGCCATCTTGACTCTTTTGACCCCCTCCCTCTAGACACGCAAGGGGGGAAAGAAGTAATAGCTCCACAGATCAATGATCAACTCCGTGGCCTTGATGCAGCCTTCTTGGCCACAGTACAGAATAGGTTGTCTGTGGCCTCCTGATGAGGCATTTTTCAGCTTTGGGATGTTCTAGTGGTCTCCCATCCAAGGACTAATCAAGCCCCACTCTGTTTAGCTTCCAAGCCCAGACTGCATTTGCCAGATACTGCCAGGCAGGGTAAAAGTTAAGTAAATGTATACAGAAGAGAAAACAAATATCCATATTCTGACCTGATGTGGGAGATGCGATGTTTGAGTTGTATAAAAGAAACTGGAGTGGTGGTGGTGAGCAGGGAGTCCCTGATAATCACTTGAAGCAATCAAGACTGCTAAATTACTCTTCTTTTAAATAACTGACAGAGGCACCCTGTTTAAGCATAATTATTTTTTCACAAACTGCTCAGAAGGCTGAATTGAAGCTCATTTCTTTTCCCCAAATTATTTTTAACATGTAGGTCTTTATTTAAGCTCCTCCTCTTATGCAAAAGCCAATAACAGCACCTGGCTGATCTCAAACAATTAAGCAGGGTTAGACTGAGGTAGCACTTGACTGACTACAAGAAATACAGTTGTAGATTAAACTGAGTAGCTAAAAAAAATTCTGGTAGAAGGCAATGGGAATCTACTTCCATATTGTTTCCAGTCAAATTATATGAATGTGGCCATCCTATTTATCAGGAGCAAAGTTCAGCTTGAAGGACTTTACTCTCTTATATCAAAAAATAATTTTCAAACTGAGTAGTGTAGTCCAGCACCTAACAAGCTATGTGGGTGTGGGAGATCAAAATGGCTAAACAGAAATCCAAGCAAAAATATTGCAAAACTACATGTAGTTCAGAACTTAAATCTGCACACTACCCCAATGTCACAACTCCTAAGCCAAGCTCAACTTACTGCACAATTTCAGATACTTGATCTGCAGTATTCTGTACTGTAGCTGTTTGTTTTGTGGTACAATTCTCAGCTCAAAAATATGTCTTAGTGGAGGATGTAGACATGGACGTGAAAAATTGGGAGAAATGGGTTAAATATAAATGGATTTTCAGAACGTTATTTTTTAAAATTGCAGATAACTTTGATGGGAAATAGAATAGAATGGACCTATCATGATCAAGGATAGAAATAAAATGGATAGGAAAATTTGTCCACATCTAATAGAGAAGAATTTTAGGAAAGTAGAGACTAAATATATTTTGCTATGACTTCTAAGAATCTGATCATTTTGTCAATAGTGGCTAGAAAACAAACCTTTATTTCTGGAATAAAATAGAAATTCAAAAGTTCCAATATTATGTAGTAGTTTGTTAAGTTTTGCTTGGCTGAAAAGACAGCAATGCTGCCTTGATGCATAAAGACTTGATCAGCTTGAATGGACACAGAAGCAGACTTTCAGATGGCAGGTATTATTTTTTTAAATGATTCGTGGAATATTACTCTGCTTGAGAAATCAGTACACAACATCAGAAAACTTAAACTGAAATAGGGTTTCCTTTCACTACATTTACTATAAACCAAACATACTCTTTTAGATCTTCCCAAGAATTAAACTCTCCTTACGGAGATAGGACTGGTGAGTTGTAAAGGGTAAGTTATGAAATAGATCCCATTTCTTTAGTGGACATGTATGTTGTAAACTTCTGTTTATGCACTTAACTGCAAAAATAGGCAAGAGATAATTTCATGATTAGCTTGAAGTTTGGAAGTAATGTTTTAAGATATTGCTAATGCCTTTTCTTACATTGTTGTACATCAAAAACATTTATACAATAAGATGAAGACAGAACCATGTTCTTGATCCACCAGGCATCTGGAAATTGTAAATGGCTGTTTTTAAAACTTTGATAGCGTGTATGTGTGTTTGAGAAACAATCTGTTTCTAGTGACAATTACCTGTTTAGCTGTGCAAGCCTATTCTCTGCCTCTTAGAGAAGGGCCTCAGCTGGCAGCTCTTTATTAAAAAAAAAAAAAAAAAGCTTGCTCTGGCTTCTGCTGCTTCTGATTGTCTCATGTGGGAGTAATTCAGTCACTCACCAAAAAACACCATCCTCTCAAATGCAAGTAACAGAACCGTTGATATAGTCTTCTCTTGTTCACTTATCTATGCTCAAAAGGGGGATGGGAAGACTTAGTCCTTGACCACAACCCTGAATTTCAGCTGGCAAGACAAGAACTTGTTCAGCTCAACATATCCCCAAAGTCTGTGGCCGTGTGGCCAAAAAATGGAATAAGCTGCTTTCTTTGTTAACTTGAAAGGATGCTCCAAGTTCTACCATGTGTGGATTCTATCACACACGCCGTTTAACATGACTCTGGCTTTTGCACAATGGAGACTGAAAAGCAGAACTGTCACAATTCGTTCATGTGCGTGCTCTCTCTCACATGGACGCGCACACAGACGCGCACACACCTCCTTTTCTCCATTTTTATTCCCTACCTCTCCTCTGGCCTCTCCTCTGCAGTAGTTCTGCCAGTAAGACAATAAGGCTTTGGACACTTTTTTTTTAAAAGCTAGTTTTGACTCGTTTTTTTTTCCTTACAGCCAACTCCTTAAAACAGCACTTAGACATTTTGTATTCCACCCCACCTTCCTCACCTGATGTCTAGTGAGGAACTGACCTGCCAAAGTGACTGACAGATGGTGAAGTAAGGAAAATGTCTTTGCATTATGATGCGCTAAGAGTGCGCTGAAAGATGCAACAGATGGTGACGTGGCAGAGACCCGTGTTTTAATCCTAAACAAGGAACTATTCTGAACAGGTAACAACAGGGCTTGGGTGGGGGGAGAAGTGAAAGTCTTACCCATTGTGAAGAATGTCTAATGTAGAAAATTCAGAAGAGAACAATTCCTGCTTACAACAATTCTAGAATGAAATATGCAGCATTTTTTTTTTTATCTACTACTTCCACTGGTAAGGCAAAGACAGCAAACACCTAACTTGGATTATAACCCATACTAAGGCACAGGTGTATAAACCAATGAAACCTCTTAAAACTTATATATTGTTAACCATCATCACGTGTATCTATAATAGCTTTCTCCATAAATTTGTCCTATCATTTTTTTAAAGCATCCAAGTCTGGGACCATCATCTTGTGATACCAGTGCCAGGAATTTGAGAAACAAATTTTGTTTCTCAAAATCTGATGCACTAGTCTCACATATCACAGTCTCATCACTGGAATTCTGTTTTCTGAGTAATACTGAAGGAGGGACTGTTCTGTAAACTGGGTATCAGGTTGAAGTAGTAAATAATCCTCAATTTGCTAATCTTTGATACAGCATGCTGCCAGAACCAACAGAACATATATCCTGGTTATTACAATTCTGGCCCCTTGCATGGGGATTAAACTGGTTTTGAGATGCACCATCTTAATCACATACACTCTGGTAAAACACTGGCAGGCCATGAACAATTTCTAGCATCATTTAAGTTTGGAGCAAGAAGGGACAGAAGATGCATGCAAGGGAAGTCAACAAAAAGCAGAGCAACTTAGAGAATTTCAACAATCATTGTAATGAAGTATAATGAACAAAAATGAAAATGTGATATAAGCATAATATATACTCTCTTTTAATAAAATGGTGCTAACCATGGTTACTATCAACTCTTGGAATTTTTCCTCATTTCACCCAACTCATGCTAGGTTAAATTCTATCTTTTTTTTTTTAGAAGATATTTGGGCCCCTCTTCCTCATGTTTTTAATATTTTATCTCATTTGATGTATATATGCAATCTAACGGAAAGGAGACTTACAAACCAGAGCTCTATCAAATGTTCCGGAGAGAAGGACAAAGAAAAAAATAGGATTACTAAATAAACAAGGATCTCATCAAAGAACAAGTTGTACCTAATGATGCAAGAATTTCAGAACAGATAAATGAATGAGCTCTTACAGATGTGCTTAAGGAAGGATGATTTATGGGGTGGGGGCTTGCTTTCTGAGTAAAAAGCCACCATCTTTGCCAACTTTGTTGGTAATGGATCATTCAGCACCCAAAGCCAACTGGCCTATGTACAAATCACCCCCTTAGCAAGAGAAGCAGGTATCTATCAGGCATCACTGCGGCGGTGGCGGCTTTTTGCAGTATTTTTTTTCACATTTGGAAAATTATTTTTCTTTAAATTGCAGTAGCTGCAGAATTGCATGGATACGCTGCAACATATGAGGCAGCTGGGCTTACTGTGCCAAGGCATAATGTGGTTTGTTTTCTTTTGGGTTAGTTGAATGAATTTAGCCATTGTGGTTTATACACATGGCTTGTGGCTTCGTGCAGAATGACCCACAATTTATGCAACAATTCATGGCTTTGTCCATAGGGTCTACAGACCGCCAAACAGGTGCAATTTGTTTGATGAATGTCTTAGCCCCATTTTGCTTTCTCCCACTTTTTCTAAAAACCTCACATTCTTTTCCTTCCATTCATCAAATATAGTTTCAAACCAAAGTTCTTAGTATCTGTGCACTCACAGTCCACTGCTAGGAGAACTGAATTTGCTAATTTTGCATTCCCCCACATGTGAACTATTAAATGTCAAGTTCTTCCTACCAGGTTTATGAAGATATTAAAATGGGAGATTTAGCAGTCTCTCTAAGATGATAGAAAAAGATAGGACATTAAAAAAAACAACAACCAAAACTTTGTAATCAAGAACTTGCCTTGAGGAATTATCCATCCATGCATGTGATCATAGTTTATATCCACATATTTTTGCTTCATGCAGCTGCAGAAACATAGGAACTGTCTTATATCAGGTCAAACTATCCAGCTACATAAATCATGCCTATCTGTTCCTGACTGATATTATCTTTCCAAGGCAGAGATCTTTTCCATCACTTATACCTATTCCTTTTAAATGAAGACAACACAGACTGAACCAAGGATATTCCGCATGTGGTACATACATTCTATCATTGGATTGCAATCCTGTTTTATTATACTGTAGCTGCGAAGATACAGCAACTGTTTCCATCCTAAATAGCAGAAACTATAAGCCAGTATACCTTGTAAAATCTACTGCATGAGTGCCACAAAAAATTAAAGAGGCATTTAAAAAAAAAACTGATCAGCTGTCTGTGTGTACAATGTCCACAGGAGATGTTACTCTTCCAACAGGTAGTACAGTCCAGCAGTATCGCACCAGTGCTACTGGTCCTAATAGTAGTATATTCATCAGTATGACTAAGAGTACATTCACATCTTTATTATGATCCTAGACCAGCATAATTCTAGTAGTATTTCATTGCTATTAGCCCTGTTTCACAATAAAGCTTTTCAGGCACCCAGGCACTCTTAAATATAGCTGCCGAGAACAACTGTATTCACTATCAAAATCCTCTAGTTTGTTTTCCCTATTGAGCACTTAAGTACACATGAGCAAAAGAAAATCACCTTCCGTAACACTATTTATAGATTTATGCACGAACACTGGGTATATGCTTGTCTAAACACAAGATAAAATTAGGCTGTAGGAAGTAGTGTTCTATAAACATATAAAACATTAAATGTAGCCTAGAAACTGCTCTGAAGTACTATGGGGAAGTTAACAGACACAAGCAAGCAAGCTGAACCCCATGGCCAGCTTGATATCTTATAACCTTTAGCCCCTTTTGAACCATGTTTTGTTTTTCCTAATAATCCAACTGATAGGAAAGGAAGGTATGTTCTTTTAAAAAAAGAAATGTAAGCTACAAGAGCTAACTTACACTATGCTTTTAATGCATAATGGCATTCAAATTCGCATGTCTCAACTAGAGAGGACCAGTATTCAATTAATTATTTTAATTATTTCTAAATGACACATTAGGACTTAAAAAACCAACAAAAGAAAGACTGAGCTCTCATAAGCAGGAAGTGGTGTCATTTTTAAGGCTTTAGCAGAGGTGCTATTAGCAATCATTCCATAATTTTGAAAACGGGCATAGACTCTTCTTCTGCAAGGAATGTAATCGACAACTGCATTCTATGTTTTTATATAGCACAGATGCAGCTTTAAAATGGACAACTAGAAATGGGGAATAAGTAAAAAACAAACTTTCGCACAAAACTGGAAGGTCAGGCATTAGCTAACATATACACCAAACCACTGATGATCTCTTTACAAAAGACACAGTAGAGAAACACAAAGTCCAAACTGTCTCAAAAACAGAAAGACACCAAATCTAGAACAAAGTATTGTTTAATTGCTTAATCCTTTCTCTTCCAGGAACCAGAAAAACAGAAACATGCCATTCTGAGCAACAACAACAACAGAAGACTAAGGCTGGTGCAAAGACAGTGTTTCAGGGAGAAAATCTTATTTGGAATGCCTGAAAAGTTATATAAGCAACCACTTCACCAGCAACCAAAATTAAGACTTTTTCTGTCTTTATAAGTATTATACACCAGAGCAATTCCATTACTAATTACAAAAATAGCTTTGTTGGCTTTTTTTTTTAAAGTAGTAATTAGCCAAAGGAAAAAGTAGTTCTCTCTGGATCCAGTAATGGGACAGATGCCCAAATCTAACCATACCCATCCGAGTTTTTGTCTCTCGGTCCCATATAACGATCCTTTTTCACAAACAGAATGAATGAAACATTCTGGAATATGGAGCTGTTTTTAGCCCACTCTTTCTGTCAAGGAGCAACCAATTAAAAAAAAAAAACCTTGATGCTCCTGCAAAACCTGTGCTTTTATATCAAAAGCTACACAGTGAAGCAAATTTTGATCCTTTTCACTAGAACAGAGTAGACAACATGGTAATCCCAAACGCTTGCTTTAATGTAACCAACTCCCTCCTCCATCTAATTTAAGTTTCTTTTAATTAAAAATAATAATAAAAGGAATCAGGCAGGCTGCAAAGCAAAATACCAGACTTTAGCATCCTATTTATTTGCAGGAATGTCCCTGGTACCAAAAAAAGTCTTGTAGTGAAGAGTTGGGGGGGGGGGGGAGGAATGGGGGCAAAGGCATTTATTTTAACAGAATGTGGAAGTTAGTGTTTTGCAACAGGCCACTCTCCTATTTATTTAAAAGTCTCCTTAACTGTTTGTGACTATGCTTGCCCTGGTAGCCATTCTGTGAACTGACACTTTTATTGTGGCATCCATTTTGTGAATGTGGCTATGGCATGTTTCCAAATTCTTAATGCGGCCGTAATCCAAATCAAGAGGAAACCAATTTGACAAAGAGAGGAGTTTCAGGCTATCAAGACTTGTCCATGCAAGGCAGGTGTACGTGGGGCTTGTGCACCCCAGCTACTACCCCCTTACAACACTTGTCTTCAAAATATAGAAAAATAAGTTAGTCATGAAGTACCCAGCTACTTGCAAAATGCATTCTTCTTGTTCTCCTTACTTCTTGGAATATGCCATACATCTGAAACCACTGAACAGGAAAGTAGCACAACGGTTTGTTCCAAACACAATAGCAGTTGGTTTTGCAACTCCCCACCTCCAGCATTTTTCTAGGTCAGAAAAGATCAACCCAACCTAATATCTTATTCCCTACAAGGGGGTGGGGGGGGGGAGGAGGAACCTGTGGCCCTCTAATTATTGTTGAATTCCCATTCTAAGCAGAGATTAAACCAGCACAGCCAGTATGGAGAAATCCTGGGAATTACAGCACATCAACAGCTTTCTCACCCCTGCATCTTACAGACTGAAGGAAGTGCATTGCCAATGCAAGGACAGGTGAAAGGTGATTGAAAGAGCCAGTATGCACAAGGAGTTGGGCTGGGGTTGGCACTGGAGGTATTTGGAAAGAGGAAAAAGCCCTTGGATTTCCAAAGGAGTGAATGGATTCCTCCTCTTCTAGACTGACAAATTATGAAGAATTTGGAGTAACCAAGGGGGAATTAAAGGACACAGAAAACATTATAGTGGCAAGAGAAAGAGACAGTCTACGGCAGTATTTTTCAAGCTTGGCAACTGTAAGGCACATAGACTTCAATTCTCAGAATTGCTGGGGAATTCTGGAAATTGAAATCCGTGCATCTTAAAGTTGCCCAGTTTTTTGGGGTGGGGGGGAGGAACTGGTCTACAGTAGCTTGCCTGGGCCAGAAAGGCTACCGCTAGATGCGTGCTGCAGGGCATTCTTTAGCAGGCAGGCAGAGGCAAAGGAAAGATGTTTTATGGGAGCTATGGGCAGTTATGGGGTGGTGGCACAAATAACACATCCATCATGATATCATTGTACAGATGACTCACATAATTGCATGAGATATCCTGATGCAATCACATGATCACATCCTTTGCACAAGGGGCACCTGTTGGCCTCATAGTGTGTTATGGACATTACTGTGGGGACAGTGACTTCAGTGATGCTCAGACTTCTGACACGCACGTCGTGCTAACTATGACTACACTAGTTGGTGAGTAAATCCACTGTGGTTTACTGAGCCACTATGGCTCAGTGCAGTGTGAACCCCATCACAGGCTAACCTGGTTTGCTTTAAGTTCCAGTGGACTGTGCCACAGGAGGCAGGAACAACCCCAGTTGATCATCCTCACTACATCCTGAATTGTGTTGACCACAATACTTATGCCATCCTCTGTTCTAGAAAAAAGATCTGATGACATAAACCGTGTTGAGGGCTGACTTTCCTAAAGATGAGACTCTCCACCTGACCCAGAATTCCTCCTAAAAGATCAGTTAGGACATAGATCTTGGTTATACTTCTCTTCCACATTCACTCAAGGAAACAAGGCTACAACATCATGAAAAGAATTAGTAAACAGATGAGAAAGGAAATTCCTATAGGCTCTTTAGGATTTAATGACAAAGAAAAGAAATAAAAAGAACTGTGCAGTGGAGGTCACAGCAGCAATAAGGGAAGAGGCAGCTTTATCTCAAATTTCTGACCAGTTCATTATCACATGGTACTGTATAGCTTTGTTGAAACTTGGTCTCCACCCGCAATGAGATTTTTCAGCAAACACCCCACTCCTTACCCCCAGAGAGATGGGAACTTAGTTATTTTGGGGAAAGGGAAAGAAAGTTTTCCAAAAGCAGCCACATCAGATTTTACTTGCTCACATTATATAAGCCACCAAGCTTCATGCCGTAGCTTCCCCTTGTTACAGTCTTCTCTCTGTTTCTTCTGTGTGCAGACAGATGGAAAGTGCGAGATGCCAACCAAAAGTGAAGCGCTCTGCCCGATGCCAGGCTTTCTGTACTTCCCTAATCATGTTAACTGAGGGAGCCCATGTATCTAGCGACCTTCTCAGGGTCATGTTTCTGATGCGGAAGTCGTAAATGTTCACCAGTTGTGGTGTGGGCTGAATTACAAACTAGCAGCGTGGCAGGCAAGCTAAGTTTTAGAGACAGAGATCACAGCACTGAACATCATTCCATAATCCCTGCCCTAGTTTACATTTTATTGAGTTTTTAACAACCTCTCTGCAAAACACACTCACGTAGGCAATGCCTCCCACCATCCAGCCATACTGGAGGAAGGGACAGGTCACCAGTTGTACACTGCTCACAGACAATGTGGAAAAGGAGTCCCAGCTTTTGCTGGGAGGGCAAAACTCAACAGGCCACATTACCATGCTGCTTAATAGTAGAACAGGGATAGGGAAGAAACGGTAGCAGCAGTCAAACAAAGTCATTTCTGCCCTTGCTGGCATATCCTATTCTGTGCATAGTGTGAAACAGTGCAGTCGTTCCGAGTTCAAACTGAGCAAACTAGATTTCCCTTCAAATGAAACAAAAAAATTAGGGAAGGAGAGGCAATTCAGCTTTAGCTGGTCCGGCAGTGGACCTGATTCTCAGAGCTGTCTTCATCATCTGAGCCTCCAGACCCACCACCAGTCATTCCTGTGATCCGGTAGCCCATGTTCATCAACATCACCTCCAGAGGATCAGCATTCATCCGCCTCTGGTTGGCTTGGGAAGCGCCTTCCATATCTTCTACCACTCGCCCGTTCAGTGCTTCGCTCTGTAAAACAAAATGAAAGGAGCAAAGCCCCAAAGTTGAGGATTTTTGTTGTCCAAGTCAAAAGTCTTCTTACACCATTCAGACAGCAAACCTGTAAGCACAATAGGTGAAGCCTTCAAGACAAGAAGCGGATTGTTTGATTTTGGGTTGGGGCACGTTGCCTGAACTCAGGGTCATCCATTAGAACTAAATTACAGGGAAATTCAGAAGCAACCAAAGGAAATACTTATTTACACAACATACAGTTACACTGAGGAGTTTGTTGCCATCAGATGTGGTGATAGCCATCTATTTAGGCAGCTTAAAAAGACTGGGTAAATGTATAGAGGGTTAGGGCTATTTTCCTTCTAGCCATACTTGTCCAGTTTAATTGGCCACTGTAGAAACTAGAATGTTGGACTCGCTTGACCATTGGTCTGATCTAGTAAACCTATTTTTACATTCTTGTGATATTTGCACATCAAGCTAACCCAGCCAACTCTGGTTAATTTAACACAGCATACTAAATCATTGTTTGCTTCAGTGGGGCATGTCAACCTAACAATATAGTTAGATAATGCCTCCATCTGCCAGATGGATCGGTAGGATTTATCACACAGCAGGTCTGTTATCCCTGAACACGGAAATATCATTTAGAAACCACTCAAAAAATAATCTTATCTTTTAAAAATGCCATCTAAGGATAGCAGCTTTTAGATCAAGATGCTACGAAGATTATTTCTGTGCCAATATGTGCAAAGGGACTCCTTTGAGCCCAATGAGGAAAACATCTCCCTGACCCATGCCACTAACAGTAAAGCATAATAATCTTACCATTACTTAAATGAAAATAAAAAACGCTGTTTTGCTTAAAGTAAAAAACAAAACAAAACTTTGCAGTATCTGAAAGGTAGTTTATTACACTGCTGGGGGAGTGTAATGTTTTGTATTTGTACTGGGTTGAATACTTTGCACACAGATATCATTTCAATACTGTCCACAAAGCCACACTTATTCTGATAATCAAGATTTGGCCAAATGCCAATCATAGTTCTGCTAAGATTTGTACGAGCAGTCAAGCAAATCTTGCATTAAGAGATTCTTCATAATGATAACCCATCCTTCTACCAATTAGGGTCCAGAAAAGAAAGTGTATCAGGAGCAAACCCCCAAGCCCAGGAAAAGCCCTAGATGCCAACCAGCAGCCACCCTATGAAGCGCCATTAAAATCATTAAATGAAAGAACCAAAATAAATATTTAAGACTTTTCTGAATGTTTTATTCTATTTCTATAGAGAAAAAAGGGCGTTTCAGGGCCCTACCATTACAGCCAGTAAGAAGCCTTTTCCTTCTTTAGAGGAGGCTTCTTCAGCCTGGCCAGAAATTGCAAGGGTTTTATGAGAAGGTGCCATCTTCTCCACTGCAGAATAGCACCACTCCTGGAACAGAAGCCTTCTGTCTGATCCAGCAGGACAACAGATTCCTACCCGGACAGCCCCCACCTCCGATCTTACTTCTGGCCTGGGATTCCAAAGCCGCACCACGGGATCGATGCCACTGGTGGCCAGGAAGCAGTAGCTCGGGTGGGGCTGGAGGCAGTTCACAATCGATTCGTCCCCCTGCAACACTCGCACCAGGTTGGTTGTTTCTTTCTCCCAGATAAAGAAGGAACCATCGTCGGAGCCACTGATGATGTACTGCGCATTGCTAGGAGGCATCAAAAACAGAGCGTGTTTAGTTATTGGTTAAATGGTTATCCTGCCTTTTGTACGGGGTGTACAAAGTGCTTCCGTCTCCCCAAACCATCCCTCCGAGAAGTAGTTTGGGCTGAGTGAAAGAGTGAGGGGTTCAAAATCCTCCAATCAGCTTCTGTGGCTGAGGGGAGACTTGCAGCTGGGGCTCCTCAGTGTCAGTCCAGCATCTGATCTGCTACACCGCACTGGCCAATGCTGATCTCTGGATACATATGAAACAGCCCCCAGAAGCAGTTGGTGGAGAGAGCAACACACCACAGAAAACCTACCCATGGTCTTGAGAGAAGTCCCCCTACCTGCCAAAGAAGTTCGCCTCTTTAATGTCTGTGGTGGTGTTGCAGTGGCCGCAGTATCTGAATTTGTAGTCGAAGCTGCGCTCCCTAAGCACCATTTCATCCTCAGATATTGAATCCTTGCGGCCAGTTGCTCGCAGCCAGATGGGGCCGCTCCCTTTCTTGTCTTCCCCTGGACAAAATTAAGTTGCTAAGTTGCTTATTTTTGGAGCTTCAGGGAGATACAGATCGTAGGATCTCTCCGCTTATCTGATTTCACAAGGACAATTTTTTTTTGTCCCTCCCAGCTAATTTTACAGATATGAAACAGAAATGGTAATACAGCAACTTCACTAAAACCACACAGTGGACTCAAGTCTGAACAGGAGTTGTGAACCTAGGGCTTTCTGGTTCAAGCCACCCCCACTCTTGTTTCTTTTCAAAAGCTCCAAATTAGTCCAGGCTCATGGCACTACAGGAGCAAGGTTTAGCTGCTTTTCTTCCCTGCCTTTTTCTTGATTTAAACAGCTGATTCCTACCCACTGATCATGCCTCTAGGTCAGTGTTTCTCAATCTCAGCAATGTTTAAGATGTGTGGATTTCAACTTCCAGAATTCCCTAGCCAGATCAGTACTTTATGCAGAATTGGGGGGGGGGGAATTACAAAGCAATTAGTTCTGCAGCACTAATGAAATTAAGACTCTGACTGGAGTTTGGGGAATGGGTGGGCCACAAATTTTAGTAAATAAGTTTTAATAGATAAATAAAATGGCCTATAGTGGCTAAACAAGGGGAGTGATCTGTTTCCAGGTTTGAGAAACAGAAGAATTTATACAATTGTGGAATGATTAATTATATTAATTGGTGATTCATTTTTTACGATAGAAAGCCAAGGCTGTGTAATGATAAGGAAACAGAAAACAAACGGAAAGGATTTGGTTAAATAATAGTTAAATAGAAGAGAGGGGAAAGGGATTATTCCACCAGTCTTTCCTCAATCCTTAATTTCATTTTGTTCTTCCTTTTTTGTTTACTTCTTAAGGTCTTTCCTTCCAATTTTTGTTTGATAATTATCCCTCTCACAGGGGTTATTTTTCCCCTCCTATTTTAACGTTTAAAAATGTTAAAAGCTAATACCATACGCACGTCATTTGTATCTCTTCAAAATCTGGCTGCTTAAGGACAAAGGGTTTGGACTGTACCCACCCTTGGGGCAGGAGCGCAAGGCGCTGTCTTTTAGTCCTCACCATTGTCACTTTTGGAGAAGAGGGCGGCGTTGATGTCCCGGTCCAGGGCATCACAAGCGCTGCTGTGGGCTTGCTCAGGGAACTTTCCTTTGAAATCGTCCAGACACTCCAGAGCTTCTGCTACATACTTCAGCTCAAAGAGACAGCGGGCCAAGCGGAAGTGAGCCTTCAAGTGGCAAGGATTCAGGGAGATGGCCCTTAGGCAGTCTCTGAGAGCATCATAGTGATCTCCATCCCTGCAAAAACCAAGGTGGGAATATTTATCTTTTTATTCGCTCACCACCATCACTGCTGAAAAGACACCTTTTCAAACTGACATAGGAAGCTGCCTCTGATCTATCTAGCTCAGCATCTGTCGACCCGATTAATAAATGCCTGCCAGTATTTCAGAATCCTATCTGGAAGACCCTATGGACTGAATCATGGATTCCCTACGTGCAAAGAATCATCAAGCTACACATGACTCCTCAATCCCCTCTAAACAGGATCTTTGCTTTATTTCTGTAACTATGAGAACCAAGCTAAACCTGATGAGGTGTGGTCGATGCCCAAATTCTCTCAGCAGAGAATCTTTCTGTTGGGAGGGCAGGAATGTTGTAGGAATGCAGAAACTAAACTTTTCAATCCAGAAGGAATCTCATCAAACTTCTCTGAGTGGAGAACGGTCCAGGAAAGATTCCACAGACCTCTGAAACTGAGAGCCTTTTATGGAAATTACATTCACATAACCTGGGATCTAGGATCTGGTCAGAGTAGTTCCTGAATTTCTACGCACGTTGGCCGGAGAAGCTGATTGTAGCTAAGCCGCCCAGGTGGGGCGTGGTCACTTACCACTTGCGCTTCATGTAAGCAGCTGCTCGGTTTCCATAGAGCATGGCATTGTTGGGGGCTTTCTGGACAGCTCTGCTGTAGAGCTGGATGGCTTGAGTCCACTGCTGGCAAGCAAAAGCCTCATTGGCTTGCAGCTTAATTTTCTCCAGATACGGAGGTAGCTCTACCTGCGGGCTGCAGAAACAAAGACCTGGTTCACATGTCAGTCCAAACCATGTTGGGTTTAGCCATGGCTTATTGCATTAACCACAACTGGCTCGGTGAATAGAACACACTTAGCCAGATCAACCAAATCCTCTCTATGGCTAAACCTTAATTAAAAAAGAAATCAGCTTGCATACGTAAGTCCTAGCAAGCCTTGGGTAAAAAGGAATCTACAGTGGGTTTGGGGGAAGTTTTTCTAGAGGACCGTTTTCAAAAAAGACAAGTGTTTTCATCCCAGCCCATGGCTTTCTAACACGGAGTGCATGCATGTGCACGAAGGAAACCCACCCCCAAAGGAAGGCCTGGCACAAGCAACAGCTTCTTGCTTGATATGGCAGTTGTTCCTGTTTCTGGCAACCAGCACAGTTCCCAGCCAAGCGGTCTCTGCACGAGATGTTTCAACTAGGGGGCAGGGAGGAGGAGGAGGAGGAGGAGGAGGAGGAGGAGATGATACAGTGATACAGCAGTACATACTGTTGGCACAAAAGGCGGCTATCTTACCTGATGTGGGCTCTCCCCTCAGACAGCCGAAACCCATTGCTGTGGAGATGGATGCCATTTGACACTCCATTGGCTGATGTCTTCCCGTTCTGCACCTCTGAGGGTCATAAAATGAAGCGTGTTTCAATGTTTGTATTTATGGCTTTAAAGGTTGGTTTTATTGGAATGGTTTATTTAAGATGTTTTTATTGTACTCTCGTAAACCACTCTGGGCTCCTTGGGGAAGCAGAGCAATATAGAAATAATATGATAGAATCACAAGGAGTAGAACAAATCTGAACCAAGGGTAAACTGCAAGCAGCAGACAGGCATTCTTGTACACGGTCTGGTTTTTCAATTTTAGGGAAATTAGCAACCTGGGAGAAGACCCAACACTGCAAGCAACAGATGCTTAATCAGCCTGACATGTAATACTTTAGACCAGTGTTTCTCAACCTTGGCAGCTTTAAGATGTGTGGACTTCAGCTCCCAGAATTCCCTGGCCATCATGGCTGGGGAAGCCTGGGAATTGAAGTCCATACAACTTAAAGCTGCCTATGGTAGGTTGGTGAAGACTGGCTTAGGCAATGGCTAAATTGACCAGCTAATCTAAATTAGATCTGTGCTATCGGAATTCACCAATTTACCATTCTCACTTTGAATGAAATAAGAGGAGCCAGAAGCTGGAAATATTGTCCTCTTTACACAGGGATAAAGCAGAAAGACAACCATGTAGGGAACTAAGGCTCATTTCTACAGGTGGCTCCACTGTGTTTTGCTTGTATGCAGTACAAGCAATATCTAACTGTCCAACCACTGCACTGCTGGATGTCAAGATACAGGTAACAGACATGGCATAAATATGCCAATAGCAGACTGGAGACCACAAAAAGGTATGGAAAGGGAATAACAGAAAGTGGACAGAAACATTTACTGCCATTATGAGATATGCTCTGCAAATCCCAATATCATCTCTATCAAAAAGGGGTTATGAGTAGGACACCCCACCATTTTTCAAGCAGCCACACCTAATCCATCAGCAGTTGCTATTTGATTGTTCATAACTGGAACCTCCCAGACTCACAGATGGTTGAGCATGAAAGAGCTAGAACAGCCATTAGTCCAGGGAGAGAGGAGAAGATACTTACAATGCTGTGACAGGAATTACAATGTGTCTTTCATGAAGAACCCATGTACCTTCCTTTGTTACCCTTGCTCAACAAGGTTTGCTGGAAATCTTAACTCCACAGCAGGATACATAATGGGAGCAATTCCTCTTTGACTCCAGCATTGCATTACTGGGAGGCTACTGGTGCAACTTGACGCACAGCATTCCAACTCAACAGCTAGTAGGTGAGGAAGCAACTCCCGCAAATGGCATTTTGTAGTCCTTGACAGGATTCATTAGGGCAGCCATCCCCAATCTGATGTTCTCTAAACATGTTGGGACTGCATCTCCCGGAATTCCTTTGCCAAGGGAATCTGAAGGGTTCACTTTTTGATATGAATTTAGGCAATTTGCGCTTCCTAAACCAGATCATAACTTTGTGCTAAAGCCCAACTTTTCCTAACTTTGCAGTGTACTCACAGCTCAGAAAGCATGCAGAAAAATGCACTTGGATTTTTAAAAAGGCCGTGCTGATGTGGTAAGAAGCCAAACTGAACACAACACTGGAAAAATAAGTCAACTTGATAAACTTTACCAACAACACCATTAGTAATATTGTGTCAATGTAACTCTCATGACTTCTCCCAAGAAATCCTGAGAATTTTAGTTCCATGTGTAAACCTCACCTTTACTAGAGGCCATTATGGAGAAAGAATGACAATTAATGCATTTTTTAAGTTCATAGAGCTGATACATTTTAGGATTACAGTTAAAACACTAGTTATCCCAAAATGGAGAAGAACTTAGGACACAATGGATGGCATCACAAATTGTGAGCAATGTGAGGTCACTAATGTTGCCTGAAAATGGAAGCAACTTTGGGAAAGAAGAGATCTCACAACACTTTTTCTCCGTCAGTATTGATTGCTGAAAGCCACTGAGTCTCACCTCCTAGGCTACTCCTACTTATTTCCTGCCCAAACAAACAAGTATTGCAAATACCTCATTTTATTGCTCTTTAAATGAACTTTGGGCACTTGCAAACCATCTCATTTGCTTTCTGCTTTGGATTCTCCTCTGCGATTCTACAACTTACTTTTATTTTTTTAACTTAGCACGTCATTAAATAATCTCGTAATCTATTTGATAGTGAGATTCACATCTGAAATGTCCTCTGGAAGCCTACTGTTATTTTGTATATTTTTATAAATATTAATTTGAATAAGTACCCAAAAGAGAGATCATTATATCTGAAATGCTGCAATACAGTACCTGATGTATGTTACAGCTTTAAGTAACCCTGATTTATAGAGAGGATTTAAAATTAACACTGTGAAATAAAGTACCATGCGTGAAATTGCTGGAGCTAGGAAGTTACTGCCCTGCTCCTCCGGCTGCAACTTTAGAAATACAACATCAATAAGAGTCCTAGTTTATTTCAAAATCTTAATTAGTGACCATAAGGCCTGGAAATGGAAAGGAAGGAATGCCTTGAAAAACAAACGCAATGCAGTCTCTGCCTTTCAAAAAAAGTTCAGCATTCTTACCCCCTGAAGTATGGCATTTCTTTGGCAGGAGGAAAGTGTATGGCCGCTGCTTATAAGTCAGGTCAAATAAGTAAACCTATAAATCAAAGAAAGGCAATGAATCCACAAACTATAAAGGAATAGTAAATTTTGAGCCAAAATTACTCACAGGAAAATATTAACTTGGTGCTGATTAACACATATAAGTCTAGCAGAAGCTATGCGTGGTCTTTGCAGGGCAAAGGAAAATGTGCATTTAGAAAAAGAGGCATTAAATCAGAAAAGTCCCTCCCTCTCATAAAATGGGGTTCCAAACTGCATGAAAACAGCAGAAACTTTAGCTTCCTTTAAACCATGAGATCGATCAATTTCAGTTCATAGAAATCTAAAGAATGAGTCACCTTTTGGCTGAGGAAGCCACTCTGCCTGATCAGGGCAGCCCACAGACAGACTTCCAGCTTTTGGTATTCACAGCTCCCCAAACCTCTCTGGAGCTACATTCATGAGTATAAGAATGGTTACCTAAGACCAGAAAGTATCCCGTAGCTTGTGGTACACACGCACGAAAGTTTAATAATTAGGAACAGGACGGGTATTTGATTTTCTACTGAAAAAAAACCCCGACACAAACTTTGCAAAAATGAATGGAGACTGACTGAGCTGGCCAATCTTCAGCCAGGGACTAGCATTATTGTTAAAGGCTGCTAAGAGGCATTCAGTACTGAAATCATGACACAGGTCCCCAAGAGGCATGATTACCGTAATCCTACTGAAAGGGGCCAACTCCCTTCCATGTTTTGATCTCCTGGTGATCAAGAAAGTTTATTCTTTGCCTCTGGTTGGGAAGATAAAGGCCCTGTTTCAGTAAGAACGTGTGCAGGCCCAAGGCATTCAGGGTATTCAGAATCGCAGAAAGGATTCTCGACTTGTGACAAATTTAGATGTCTTTTTGCTATTCTGCCAATTATCTATGAAACTTCCTAAGGTGAAATAGACAATATGGCCTCCAAATGCAATACTGTTTAATGGAAATAGTTTACACTTCATCTGCAAATCTAGGAAGAAAAAAAAAAGATTATTCTATTAGGTATGTGACAGGAATTCTAAATTTGGAGAAAAGGGAAAAGCACCAGGTGTGTTTTTAAAAAAGGGAGAAATCTTCAGAGTGTCACAGAAGTCTAATATGTTTTCAAAATTCAAAAATGAATTCTTTTAAGGCACTCTTAGGCACAGTTTCCAGACTGTGACAGGTAAGCAGAGAGCCAGTGGTAATCAGAGTAGAGATGTCAGTTACTGTATCTCAACAACCAATATCCATTCAGTTTCAAGGCTCTGAAGTGCAATACAAAAAGTCCCTCGAAACATACAAAAGGCATGAAGCATCAGCAACAATTTAAATTGCAGAGGGTATAAGGAGTACAGTATAAGACAGAATCGCACCCCCACAACAACAAAGGGGAATCAACTCATTTAAACATCCAGCTGTGCTGTGTCAATTCTTTGAGAAACTTCAAGCCTAGCAAGTCAGGGGCAAAAGATTTGTAGCCAAGTCCTGATCTGGGGAACCTGATACAGACTATGGTATAATTTCATAATCATTTTTTTTCTCTTGACTAATTCTTTGTACACATTATCAGCTTTTGAGTCTGCAGCAGCTACTACAGGAGCAGTCTGGTTGAGAAGGCAGCAATTACTGGGTGCAATACATGGCATACAACACAATGGGGATGGGGTGTGTGAAGGGGGAGGAGATGTGATGGAATGCAGTAGAGAACCAGGTTCTCAGGAAGGAGGGAAGGGAGGGAAGACAAGAGGCAACACAGTCCGGAGCAGGAGTGTGGGAAGAGGAAGAGACTTAGGATAGCCACTCCCTGGAATCTCCCAGGGTATATCCATTAGGTTAGAGTAGTACAGATTTAGTCTGGCAAGATTCTGTCTATATGGCATAAGCAATAAAGAAACTGAACTTGGCTGGACTGTTTCCTTGTTGTTCTTGGGCTGGGCCTGAGAGGGGGAGGGGGTTAGAACAGCTTTGCAGTGTTGGGGGATTTATAAATGGATTGAAGGCCATCTAAGCACAGCTGATGTTGCTGACCATTTCAATGTATTGATAATATTTCACAGTGACTGAATCAGCACAACTGAGTGACTACATCAGCCCAATAAGATGCTCAAAGCAACAAAAGTTTACCTGTTCTCCTCCCATGTTGACCAAGAGCTCTGTACCATCTGGACTGAAAGTGACATAGGTAGCTACCAGAACCCTCAGCCGGTTATTGTAGTCGGGTAATTTCACTGGAAGATGCCCTACAGAAGAAAAAAACAAGCAGAGCTAATACATACAACCTGATGGAACGGACCCTCCTTTAGCTAATTGTTTGCAAGAAACTAGAAAAGCCTTTTAAAATAAAAAGAGCCACTTCCATTTATTGGGCAGAATCCACTTGCAGCAAAAAAGGAGTCATCAACGTCTTTGCAGCACAAGCTATCATAAGCTAAGGATCCATTATCTCACCTTTTCTTTTCCTTTTCTTTATAACTTGTATTTTCAATTTTCTTTTTCATTTCTAACTTTTAACTTTGTAATTTTAAAACCCCAATAACATATTACAAGCTATCATAAGCTAAGGATCCATTATCTCACCTTTTCTTTTCCTTTTCTTTATAACTTGTATTTTCAATTTTCTTTTTCATTTCTAACTTTTAACTTTGTAATTTTAAAACCCCAATAACATATTACAAGCTATCATAAGCTAAGGATCCATTATCTCACCTTTTCTTTTCCTTTTCTTTATAACTTGTATTTTCAATTTTCTTTTTCATTTCTAACTTTTAACTTTGTAATTTTAAAACCCCAATAACATATTAAAAGAAAAAAAAGCTAAGGATCCATTATTAATCTACCCAAGTGCAAGTTATTCAAATATACTCTCATTTCTCACCATAATAGACCCCCCAAAAATCAGTTTTGTTGAACGCACTAAACAATCTCCCAGACGGGGCACCACCCACAAATAATTTTACCTGCTACGTAGTACTGAGCAGCGCCATCTGGGAGGGGTTTCTGCCGATCACAGAACGTATGAACACCAGCAGCAGGATTCTGTTTCATGCTTTTTCTAGCCAAAAGAGAGGAAAATCTGTAGCTGTACATACATTTTCTTTTCAAAACATTTCTCCTATCTGCGAGGAGAAAAATTAGGGCAGCACAGCCATATTAGAGAGCTAAAATTCACACAATTATGTCAGCAAACCAGGGCACTTCTGGAGATCAGCATAAATTCCAGAAGGATAATGGGATGTTGTAATTTTGATTGATTTTAACCATTTTGTAAACTGCCCAGAATCAACGAGATGGGCGGTGACATATTTGATATATAAATAAAAAAATAAAATGAATAATAGCCTTTGTAAATTTCGCTGCAACACATTGAGACTCATAGCACCTCAGACTAACAAACTGACCAGAGCAGAAGCTTTTGTGAACTGAACTTCATTTACATCAAATATTGTTTTGAGTTACGAGTATGTATTACTTTCTCTCTCTCTCTCTCTCTCCCCATCCACCCCATCCCACACACTTTTGGGGATGTAAAAATAAATTTAAAGAAAAATAAAATGCAGTATTTTATAATCACTACCTGTTTTTTCCCCTATTAACTGTCTATCTTTTCTTCCATCAACAACAATGTACAGTATGTGTGCTTGTGCATACACAGTCCCTGACTTCTAATGAAATGGGCTGAAGTTCACAAAAGCTTATGCCGTTGGTCCCAAATCTGTGGGTTTTAAACAGTCTGTGAGGGTGCAGGAAATCAGGTTCCAAAATTATATGAATTTATTTGCAGAATTGGCTAAAATTCATTCTTCGTTTAGTTTTAGAACCTTACAGGTGCCACCTTGGAGGAGACATGTGGGCTGTAATACTTGCTGGAACCACATTGCCAACTTGTGGTCTACAGAAGCACGGACAGTGGTGCAGCAGTCCGCGTAAGGAAAGAATTGAGAAGTGCTGGTGTATATTGTCATAAATACATCAGCATGTCAAGTGCTACAAGACTTGCTTCTACTAGAAATCACCAGGTGTGTGTAAAAAACGAAAAAAGTTGTACTCTTACCGCAAAGATTGTTTCTCATATATACATATAAAACAAGTAATTATATCAATACACGGTTCTAGAACTTCTAATGTATATAATGCAAAACACTTTGTCTAATTTAAACCACTACTGATACCCACTTCACTAAGTAAAAACCAGTTAGATTTTAATAGTGAAGGCACAATTAGAGAAGGAGCTGAGGGGAAGAAAGAAGGCAAGCAAATACTGCCACATAAAAAACCCTTGACATTATGATCAGCTTCAATCAGCATCTAACTATTAAATCAATATGAATATTTATATTGACTAACATATGAAATAAATGTAAATATTAAAAACTATACATCAAAGGTGGGGTTCAATTTCGTAACTGGGATATCAACTGGCCCTTTAGCATTCTAATGTAGCCTTTTCCTTTACAGCAAAAAATACAGCCTCTGTCCCTTTCTCTCTCCTAAAAGGCTGCTTGCCCCACGATCTCTCCTCTATACATATTCATTCCATATGTATTCTGTCCATGCTGCACAGTAGGAAAAAAATTCATAGGAAGTATTACAGTACATCATTGGGTCACTTAAACATACATTTGCTCTTGCCTACCTTAAAGGGCCAACAATAAATAAATAACGTTCATTATTACAAAGAGAGAGATGCTTCCATATAAACAGTCAGATCTGACATTAAAAGCCATCCCAGATATATCCTTAACACAGTGTTTCTCAACCTTGGGAACTTTAAGATGCATGGACTTCAACTCCCAGAATTCCCCAGCCAGCTGGCTGGGTTCCCCCGGGTGAGAAAAACCCCCCTCACATATTTAGGCCTCTACTTCATGGGGCAAGCCGTTAATTAAAAAAGAACTTAACCACTCTGCTAGTAATCCTGCATGTTGCTCAATACAACACAATATATACTGTCTGCCTACA